TTTTCTTCAACCTGGGAGTGCAACATTCTCGTTCTCTAGCAGCTACCCAGCTGTACCAAGAGAAGTTAGCACATGTAGTGGTGTCTTCAGCATCCCCGTCTGTAGCACAAACTGCACAAGTCAGTCTACCGCAAGTTCCTCAGGTGCCTGGTGTTGGCATTGTGAGTGGCCTTATCTCTTATTTAAGTGTTTTCCATTAGTAACGGAAGGAGATGCGGCTTTGATGTTTAACACTTCGCTCGGATCACTCCTGGGAGGTTTTTCTTGTGGATCTTCGATGATTCTTCCATCTCCAAAAAGCCGCTATCTAGATTTTCCATGAATTTCGTCTCCAGTGCATTGCATGTTGTTGCTGTTCTGATCAAGAAGTAACTTACAGCTTCCTGCCGAAACGCAAGTTGGCCCTAGGACTATGGAGCAATACATCAGTCAGCTCGGAATTGCTGGACCGCAGGCCCAAGCACTGCTTCGGTACCAATCGCATATGCTTTAGAATTCTGCTTGCTATTTATGTTTAGACAAGCACAATCGCATCATCTCGCACAGCAGGCGCAACTACTAGCAGCTGCAGCATCTGTTCGTTTGCCGGATCGTCCACATCCTACTTACGGCAGTTCGATCTTACCTCTGCATGCTGATCTTCTGCAGTTGGCCAGTCAAGTTCCTATCTCTGTTTCAGCTGCTGTTTCTGTTGGACAGGTTCGTATGATTTAAATTGCTATGAGTTCTGATAGTGTAAGGAGGGAAGATCAAGTCGATGTGTTTTTGATTGGAGTATTGCACAGTCTAGCTTTTGGAATCACAGAGGCTGTACTCAATGTGTGTCGATTTTATATAACACATCTTTCTTTCAGTCTTGAGGCTTACATTTCATTTTGTATTCGACTATGTATTTTTGATTTGCTTTATCGGTGAAATGTTTGCAAAAGATGATTTTCAAGCTCATTCGCCCACCATTGTTCTCAAGTGGGAATACACCGTCGCATGCTGCAGCCCCTTCGAGTTCTACAGCTTCGTCCATGAATGCGCACAAACAGATTCCACCGCACTCATCTGCTGCTGAACAACAAGCTTACTACCTTCAACAAGCTCTCTCCGCTGTCGCTAGCTGTGAGATAATATTTCTCTTTAAAACTAGAGTTACAATCGCGGTATAATTTGTAAGTTGTTGGACGTTTCTTCACATCATTTGTTGGTTATATTTAACGAAAGTTAACGTCATTTGTCTCATGTATCGCGGTTAGTTCCGTAGTTTTGTTTTATATCCGACTTCGAAATTTCGTGTGTGACTAACATCCTCTTCACGTGACCAAATCATTAAAAAACTGAGCAAACATTTTTTGTAATGTTCTTTTCATTTCAGCGCAAAATGAGAAATCTGAAATGGATGCTCAGGTCTTGCAGCAAGGGAATGCCGGACTCCATCCTTACATTCGGCCCTCGTCTCAAGAGGTTCCTCAACTTTACCGCATGTTTATTGCTTGTCTGGATCAAAACAATCTTGCAGGTTTTGAAACCTGTTGCTGTTGGTGGGGGAAGCCAAGATGCCGCATTTTCTCCGCGACCTCCTCCAGTTGACCCGAGTCCTCCGAGAACATTAGCCGACGCTTCAACTAGTATCATCGATTCGAATCCTTCTACGCTGGTTCATCAACAGGTTAATGAACTTAATGCTAACTTGCAATTGTGATATTCTTGTATTCAATACATTTATCGTAGCAGTCTTTCATGAGACATGCTATTCCTCCCTCCATAGAATTTTTCAATTTAGGCTCAAACATCTCCGCCTGGATCTAGTGATCAACCACTTGATAAGCGAGATACGATAGAAGCTCGTCCTCAGAGTGCGCGTGAGCAGTCGTCATCAGCCAGTGCTGGAGCGCGAGTAACACCGCAGGTATGACTTATTTCGCTACAGCTTCATCTCGTAAGTTTGAAGTTTCGAACGTAGAGTGTTGGTGTATGTCATTAATTTGTTTTGAGAGAAGAACTGGTGCAAGTCATGTACTACTTTTCTGTGCCAAAAACTCAGCGAGCGGTTGCACTGTTTAGAGTCAGTCATGTAGAACATTTTCATGGTAAACGGCTGTTTTGAGGGCTGTCTTCATGCAAAGACTAATTATGTATTTGTCACCTACTGTTTTCTGTCGTCTTAATCGCTATATGCCCCTTTGGAATTTCAAAATATCTAATAACCGTTGTTGCTCACCCTTAGAAGCATTTCGATGATGCTCGCCTTGTGTTGGCTTAGTCGGACCTTAGAGTTTAATGTGACGACAAGCTTGGTCAGATCAGTTCATTCCTGGGATAGAAGCATACAGTTGGGAACGGTGATGTAGTCCCAGTGTTATTTTCTCATAGAAGAATTCTTGAATTGTGTTTTCTCGAACACTAGTCATGCAGAGGCTCACAAATTTGAACTGTGTGTGTTTACTTCATTCTGTCTATTGCTCTTTACAGGTAAAGATTCTGCAATAAAATACAGCTGATTTT